GCCTGACAAAGAAGTATCTCCCATTCCAAGCCCCATCATTGTGTTTTGTTTTTAACACAAGAGGAGGCTTGCCACTCTTAACCTTGAATGAGAAGCGAGCATTGCCAAAAGTTGAGAGATCATAGACATGGGCCAATTTAGTCAGACCCATGCCAAGATCCCGTGTCTGATTCAAACACTCAACCTAGTATAAGATCCTCCAAACGATAGGCATCATTTGGATGAAAAAAAGTATGACAACCCGAAATTTCCATTATGTACAAACCATATCAAGTCAATAGAAGTTAGAACAGTTATAGTGAAGTTCCAGACTTTTGGGTATAAGTTTGATAGTTTTTCAGGATTTACACTTAAGGAGATATCAGGAGAGTGGATGCACTAGGGTTTTGTGCAACATTTTTATTCCAAAACTTTATAAGATTAGAGTTCATTTCAGGAATAAAATATTTTCTGCCAAAAATCCTAGGACTATATATAGAAATCTGAGCCATATTTATTCATTAGTTCCATTTCCAACTAGAGAAAAGCCGAATTCTCTCTCAAGGATCTTCGGACTTTCGTTACGGAAAGTGAGTACTTCTATCTAGTGTTGTTTTAAAGCTTCTTATATGCTTAATTCACTAGAAATCATAGGAAAACACAAAGATCTGAGAGTTTACCGCCCAAGAACACCTTGGGGAGTAAACTTCTTTTATAAGGGCCAAAGTGTGCGCAATGTCCCTCCAAGCCTTGGAACTCAACCTAGAAAATACAATGACATGTTTAGACCACAAAATAATTAAGAAACAAAGGCTAGAAGTGAGTTCACGACCAAGGATGTTCTTGGGCCGTGAACTCCATTTTTAGGTGCCAAAACACCCTAAAAGCCTTCCTTAAGCCAAGAGACTAGTTTAGACATGTACCCTAATGAGTTTAGGACTAGAAAACACCCTTAGAACACCAAGAGTAAGGTGTTCACGGCCGAAGAAGTTCCAGGGCCGTGAACTCCAAACAATAGTGTCAAATGGTGCTATAAACTCTTCTAAAGCATTGTACAATAGCCTAGTTTAGTTCCTAGTTAAATTAGGGACTTGAAAACACCACAAACACCATTCCAAGGGAGATTACGGCCATAATCTCCATGGGATTTGTTCCCAGGGCCGTGAACTCCTAAAAGGAGTTATATAATGCCCTAAACTCTTCTAAGGACCAATCCATTAAGTGAAATTGCTTCTTAGGGTCTTATAGAGCCTCAAACATCAATTGGCCAAGTAAGTATGAGCTTAAGGCGGTAAACTCAAGAGTTTACGACCGTAAACTCATTAATTGGTGACATTAGGGCCGTGAACTCCATTAGAGAGTTTCCCTTGATCCCTACACACAATAGCTTTCCCCTACAAACACTTAGATGCAATCCTAGAGGGTAATAACACTTGATAAAGGTGTTTAGCATGTCCTAGGGTGTCTTGACTTGTTTATTAGTTGTTTATAGACTAATTTGTTACATATATGTGAAAATATATGTTAACTAGGATCATAGAGTGTGTTCAAGACTTCACTTGACACCTAGCAGTCCTGCCTCTTCGGTTCATCCGTATCACCCACAACAGGTGAGTTCATACTCCTTAATCAATGTTTTAAATGTTTTATGGCGGCGGGGGGGGGGGATACAAGTAGAATCATGCTAGTTATTATATCAATCACATGTGATTAATAAGTAGCATTCAAATGATTTACTACACATTAGCTGTTTTACCAAACAATTGTTATTCAAAAGGATTTTCATATACGTTTTATTTGTTTAAAACTCCTGATTTAATTGTTCATTATACATTGTATGTTTCATTTCAAACTCATTTACAATTGTGTTTCAAACAAATGTTTATTTGTATTTAAAACTATTTTGTTAGATAAATACCTCCAACCCGTTTTATAGATTGACATCAAGTCGATATTTTCTTAGATAGTTATCATGTTCAAAAGGTTTTACAAAACTTATTTTATGTTTTTATAATTTCAATTGCATGCCTATATATGTATGGTTATATAAGAAATGTTTAAAGAACTTAGGAAGGCTATTCACCCTATTTCCTTTTTGCGGTTGAGATGTGGTCTGGTGGGATATCGGGTACCCGTCCGAAGGTCGTTTAAATATTAGTTATATATAATGTGTACATATATAGTCATAAAGGTTCTTCCAATTCATTCAATACCCTTGGGTAGCAAGGGTATACATCCATGTTCATACGTACCATTTACATTACTAGTAAGCTACCATAGGGGTAGTTCAGGAAAATACTAGAACTATTAGTACACGACATCATACAATGAGTCAGTTCATTAATGAGTCAATACTTGCTAGATAGAGAGAGAACATACATTACAACTAGTACACACAATACATTACTATACATGCTAGATAGAGAGAACATACATTACAGCTAGCACAGACAGAACATTTCAGTACATACAGGCTAGACAGAGAAAGATTACACTTTCAATTAGCACATTCATTACATATACATTTATGTAGTTACGTGAACCACTAGGCGGGTCATGGCACTTCCTGCCATGACCGCTCTTGTATCCCGAATCTCCTTAATTGTGGAGCGTATGAGTTTGCGTATAGATCTATACTAGATTGACTATCCTACACCTTGCTGCTCGCTATAGTGGGACTTGCAAGTCTACGGGTGCCAAATGTCATTTCTTACGGTGTCTTACATCGTCGTTTTACTAGAGTCGATAGCAGGATACAGGTCGATCACATGTTATATTGAATACCTTTTTATTTTTAAGGTAGTTAGTACAGCGGTAGTCACTTATTACAAATACTACAGTACTTTCAAGATTTCAATAGACTTAAGGTAGTTAGTACGGTTGTAGTTATTTGATACTACACCATAGTACTATTTCATTTTCCCATTACATTCACTTCGTGAACATTCACGCGATGCACGGTAATGTAGAACTATATTTTTGATTAATGATAGTCAGATTTGGGAAAATACACACTCTTACAAGAGACACACACATGGATATTAGATACCTTGGTAGAAGGATACAATTAGTAGGAAACATAGGGTTTTCTAGGATGTTCATTTACATACAAATACGTACAGTTCATTTACATACAAATACTTACAATTCATTCGTACAAATACTTACATTTCAAACACATACAAGTACTTACATACAAATTAAGACACTAAAATGCTTATGATCTCACCAGCTTTAAAGTTGATACTCGCTTTCAAAATAACTTGTATCCTCAGGTCAACCATAGACATGTACCGATGCAAGGTTCAGAGAAGATGGTGCTCATTCAAGACTCATCTTTCATTTTGATTTATACTTTAGTGTCTATTATAATTTGACAGAACACACTTGTATTAAAATTATATTATTAATGCAATGGATGATGTTGTTGCTTGTTTACTACTTTTCATTGTTGTGATACTGTACATGACGTCCTCCGCCCAAAAACATTTCTGCCGTTCATGGTTTTGGGGTGTGACAGAAAGTTTCATGATCACGAAAAACTCCAAGAACACTCCGGTTAAGGCCTAAAACAGAGAAGGGGTACTTCGGAAAGCACACCCAAGAAGAGGAGATGAAGTCTGGTTGGATTAAAGGGTCATAAGGCCTGAAGACTGCTTCAGGAGGGAAGGCACCATAAGCCTTCAATGCTTCAATATCACCATCATTGAAGGAACACATATCGTCATAAGACAAGACTCCTTCGATGAAGGTTGAGAGATCATAGACATAGGCCAATTCAGCCATACCCATGCCAAGATCCTACATCTAATTTAGACACTCAACCCAATACATGATCCTCCAAATGATAGGCATCACTTGGATGAAAGAAAGTTTCCTGATCTTGAAAAACTTTGAGACCACTCCGGAAAAAGGGAATTTAAGGCCTAAAACAGAGAAATGATACTTCATAAAACACACCCAAGAAGAGGATATTAAGTCTGGTTGGATTAAAGGGTCATAAGGCCTGAAGAGTGCTTCAGGAGGGAAGGAACCACTAGCCTTCAATGCTTAGATATCACCATTATCAAAGGAGCACGTATCGTCAAAAGACAAGACTCCTTGATTGATGAAATCGTCCTCAGGAAGACATAGGATCTTCTTGCTAGAAAGGGTCATATTTTTACCCATGATCGAAAATTTGGTAGAAAGGAGATGAGGCAGAGAGGATGTTACCTTTATCGAAATCACCGGTAGCATAAAGAAAGCAAAGACAATCGAGACGAGTAAAGAGAATTATGGAACGGACCACCTCTATTTATAATAAATATTTGAGGTTGATTTGACCATTAACGGCTAGTTATCCACCTGTTGGATTTCAAAATTACCTAGCCGTTATGGGTTAATTTTGAAAATTACTTTTCTCTCTCTCCTTTTACATTTTTAATTTAATTTATCCCTTTAATATTCTCGAAATTAACTCCTATATTTTTAGGAATAACTTTCGGTCAATTGTTAGGGCCAAGATCCTCAAAACATTCAGTATCCTCAAACCTCATCGGATATTCAAGATCCTAAACTATCTCAAGATCCCGACTATTACCGTTATTATTATTTACTAACATTTATAATGGTTATATTTCGTTCTTAATTAACACATGTGCATAAATAGTTAAGAGAAGACTTAATATCAATAGAGAGTTGTGTCAACTATGCTAAAGACCCAGAATACCAAGTCAAGCAATGCTCACAAAGCTAGTTTAGACTATAAATTTACACATGTATCTCACATATGACACACACTACCTACTCTGAGCTTACTCTATGAACTTTTTCACTTGTTCTTACTGAAATACTCTTTGTAATCATCATTTTGTATTAATAAAATCATCAAGGCAGGTGATCATTATCACCTCCCAAGGTTTTTTGGCAAAGATCCTAGCAACGATCAATGGCTTTCCTTGTAAACAATCATGTCATTATCTTTACCTTTCTCTATTGCACAATTCAAACATCACATCCTTTCATTCAATTTGGTTAATTTATACTTGTGTAATTTTTGACCAAACAATCTCCAACACTAAAGTCATTTCTATGTTGACCAGGATGGAATCACGTATCACCGAACAGGGTAAAATCAACAAGATGTTATTCGAAACAATAGAGATGTTAAGTTTAAAATCCAAAAGGCCTATGGAAACTACACCAACTTCACCTTCATTCTTGCAACCCAATATCTTGAACTTCGAAAGCGGTACATCTTCAGAATGCCAACCCGAAGACGTCATCTTAAGGGATACACCAATCTTCATAGATGGTGAAACTCCAAGAACAGGAGGTCCTGCTTCCCAAGATCTTATAGGGATATTCAACATCCCAACATATACCCAGGATATAAGAATAAGTCAAGTTATAGAAAAAGAACTTAGGCAATTGAGAGACATGATCTCAAGTATCTCAAACATGATTGAATATATACCAGAGGTGCTAGTTGTCAACCGTAGGGTATTAATATTTGCACCCCTATTTGTGACATCGAGTTTCCAGACATCCAACATGAAGATTTATAATGGACAACGGATCCTAAAGAGCATGCCCCAAATATAGAGGACACATGGAGATTCTTAATTAGGATTGTCTATGTAAGGGTTTTGGTTAGGATATGAATTGAAGTGGCTTATAAACATTCCTTGTTACTTCATTAATTCTTTCTAACATCATATTAACTTGTTTAATAATAGATCTTCTTATAGTATAACTTTTCAGAAACTAACATGTGACCTTTACAATGTAACCCAAGACAACAATGAGTCCTTGAGAGATTATGTTAGTTGGTTCGGGAAAGATGTGCTAGATATTCCACATCTAGATGTTGTAATAGCTGTCGAAGCCTTATATATCAGGCTAATGAAAGATTATTCATTTTATGATGATATTTTCATGAACCCATGCAAAAAGTTGGATGAAATAAAAAATCAAGCCCTAAGATTCATCAAACTTGAAAAGGAAAAGAACATCCAGAAGAGGATGAACACATCTTACGATCATCCTAACAGGAAAAATGAATCTTCCTCCCAAAATTATTACAAGGATAAACCCTACATAATAATTGTGAATCATAGGGCTAATACTCTAGAGGATAAATAATATCCTAAGATGTGACTATTGTTTTTCTATTAATATTTTAGGTTTGCTCTATGAAATGCAGGATCTTGGGGACAAGGTATGATGGCCCAAGAAAAATGACAAAGCATAAGGATTGATGGTGTAACAGCCCGGAATTTCAGGTATTGCTTTAAAACTATTTTTGGGGCATTTTTAGGAGGGGACTCGGCGAGTTGGTGCCTGAATCGCCGAGTAGGACCACGGACTTGGTCGCAGATTCGCGACTGGACTCGACGAGTCCATTAGGGACTCGGCGAGTCGACGCTGTTCAGCAGAAACCCTAGCCGTTTGATTCTGGATCGTATATAACATCTTTAGGGCCGTCATTGCTCGTCTTTTGGCCGATTGAGGATAACCTAAACGTCTGTGGGCATCTGGAGCAGGAGTGAAGGCTAGTGGAAACTTGAAGGATTTGTTAGACAAGAAGAGGAAGGGTTTTAGCTAAAGGAACAGCAAGAGAATCACGTTCTGAGGATTGGGGACACAGAAAGTGCATCAATCAGGTAATATCTCGGATTTTGTTCTTCTGTGATTGATGTGTAAATGGAGTTAGGGTTTATAGAACCCATTTGATGATTAGATGGATTATTATGTTGTTACCCAAGTATTTACACCCCAGTAATAGGATGTTTAGAGGTCCAGATAGTCCCACGAGTGTGTATTTCGGAATCATACGTGTTTTAGGAAGCAGTTGATCGACTGCATGGCATGGACTCGCCGAGTCTGATGAGCAGACTCGGCGAGTAGCTTGAAGATTCACTGGGACTCGCCGAGTTGTTCTTCAGACTCGGCGAGTGGAGTTGGGGTGGCCCCGCGATTCTTCCATGTGGACCTCGTCGAGTCAAGAGGGATACTCGACGAGTAGAAAGGAGAACAACAGGGAAAATTGGGGTGGACGTCTAGACTCGCCGAGTCGCCTTTGCACTCGACGAGTCCGGTCAAGTTGACTGTTGACCAGAGTTGACCTGCATGTAATTTTGTAGGGTCAGTTGTCTTGTTTGATAAGATTATTAATAAGGGTATATGGTATTATAGGGAGACTGCAGATCGGCGGACCGAGTGCGAGTGGTTTCAAGAGTTTATAGTTTACATACTACGAGGTGAGTCTTCTCACTATACTGTACCCGGAAGGGTGTCTATGTGTGACCGGAAGGTCGGATATGTTATGTGATTTATATATGCTATAATTGAAAGGAATAGTTGCTATGCATGCTATGTATGTTTCTATGGGCCGGAAGG